TGGCCCAGACAAAGCTGTGGACGGTGATAGAAAAACATGCATGAGGTCAGACTATATTGGTCCATTATATCCACATAAAACAACATGGTGGACGGTAGATCTCGGAGGAAATCACAGCATTTACAGCATCAGTATAGATTTCAAGGACTACAAAGACTATGGTGATTATAGTATTATTTGATTTTACAAGCAAACATTCATATATGTTGTCATATTTTTTTTCAAAATAGGTTATAAAGTATATTTATCTTATGTTCATAAAAGAAATACACACATAATTATCTTGAGCAGTTAACGGTCACTGAATGTTTTATTGGAAGCACAATATAAATGTTATACTAATGACAAACATATGCGTGGATGTTTTCGAAATCTAGTGAGTTAAGTCAAAGCAAATCTGCCCCAAGCCAATTTACACACCACAACATGCTGCATGGAAAGCACATTTCTTTTCTAAAATTATTCCTGAAAAAAAAAAGTGTTACCAAATATTTGTTAACGGTGCACTTCTATTTTACGCAAAATGCCAAAAAAAAAAGGAAAATAAAGAAGGCAAGATCTTAACATACGAGAGTTGTTGAACGATGCAAGTCTTCGTTATACCCTTTTCGGGAAACTCAAAATAAGCACAATTTCATGTGTACAAACATTTGTTTTGTTGATGTAAGAAGTTTCATTCCATTCGATGAAATAGAAATCAATTTCCTTCATTTTACAATCAATCCGTCTTGTGACCACGCAGTACACTTAACAGCAAGGTAACTTAAAAAACATAGCGTCGAGAATTTCGTCAAAATACTACCCCTTTACATTTCACACAATACAGTTCAATAATCACATATTAAAACCCTGTTTCTGGAGCTTGTTCTTTTTTCTTCGAACAATTGTTCTCGTTTTATAATTTCCCTTCTCAATGTTTTAATTTACTTTACCACATCCATGTGTTTTCACACGATCAGCAACTCTGAAGCGCCTATGCCTTTCCATAACGTTCCAATCCATGAAGTTAGTGTTAAGGGACTCCAATCCTCAGCCAGGAAGGACAACTCATTAATTTATAATCTAATTCAAACAGTCTCAAAATGGAGCTTTAAAATTAAATCTTTTCATGCTAAAAGTTTCATTATATACCTCTCAATGTGCTTCAAGGTTCTTTGAAGTTCTCAGTAAGGTCTAATTAGAATTCGAAATTAAAATTACATATATCAAGAAACTGATGTTCATTTTAATCTAACCAAAGATACCAATTTTTATTAACATGAGATGAAACTAGAAGTGATTTATGGAGCTTATCAATGACAGGAGAATCCTTATACACTTTGTACTGTAAAATGATCGATGTATTAAATAAAAAAAATTAAAGTACATTATTTGTATAAAAATTGTGGAATTTCTTCAAAAGCTATGACTTTTATTTTCAAAATGTGTTAATTGATCAAATTTGAATTGGAAAATGCATAGCAGGTGTTTTCATTTGCAATTCCTGAAGTTTTATTTGAGATTTACTAATTTTCTCTATATAATATGATTAACTTGAAAGATGAAGTTTGAAGAATTATTCTGGGTAAAATTATGTTACTTTGAAAATTCAGAGTCATTTTTGTGAGCATTTTTAATCAGTCAATGCTTGATTTTCAGAGCCCGAGGATCGAGTACCTTAAGATTTTACCAGATACAATGTAAGGCGTTTCTTTACAGACTGTCCTCGTCCGATATAGTGTCTCTGTCTCTGAAATACAGCCTGTATACTATTTATAAACACATGCTCGACCTACTTCTGACATATTATTTTTATTCCTTTAACACATGAAAGTTTATTCAGGATTTTTCCCGAATATAAATTATTTTAAATTGCATCGTTTTCTGTTGCTTCGTGACGTTCTACGTACAGCGTCTTCATTTTTGTCTCTTTCAATGAGGACTACTTATCTTCTCAAATTTAGTACTCTTCAACGAAGCAAATTATTATGCAATAATATACAATTATTGCTGTGTTTTGAGGTCAATACAATGATTTAGCCATCTGAGGAGTACAATATTCACCGAGCCCGGAGGGCGAGGTGAATATTGTACTTCGAAGATGGCTAAATCATTGTATTGACCGAAAAAACAGCAATAACTGTTTTATTATATGATTAAATTATAGCAATTGCCTTATTATATGATTTATTTGATTACATGACAGCAATATGATTAAATGATAGCAAACTCCAAAAAGTTTGTTTTTTTGATTTAATTGGATATTTTAACAAGAAATTTCAACAATATTTAACACATTGTAACAGAAAAAATGGTACAATAAAACATTGAGAATTTATAACCCTTTTCATTTCAAGTTGATGTTGTAATTGATTGTTATATTGGATGAATTGTGTAGATTCAAAACTGGAAAGCCTGAGGCAATAGACTGAAAAGATGTTCTGGACATCTCTACGTGCTCTGTAACTGTGGTTTGTCCAGTTTTACTTACTGAGTTATTCGACAGATTTGACAGAGCATTCGTTTCAGTAATACATGGACCCCCCACATTTTGAAGGCCATAATCAAAATCTGCACTGCTCAAAATAGAATCAAAATCATCAGGATCATTCAATAAATCTGCCAGTACATTGTCAATGTCAGACAGTGAATTTGATGCTGGTATTGGCTCAAGTTTCAATTCGGAAGCCTCAAAATAGCTTGTAGAAGTTGTAGTTGAATTTTCTTTCTCAAGAACACTTGTTTCAGAACGAAGGGTTTTGGATATACTCTCCGACATTTTTCGCTTGATTTCCGGCTCTGTCTGGCCTGTGTAAGTTTTTAAACTGGACTCCGCGCGATGTCCGGTGACACTCATGATGTGACGTCCTGAGAATAACCCAGTTGAATCCAGGGTGTGCACCAGGGTTGCGCGCAAAGAATGGTTCGTATACCTCTGTGATAATCCTGCCTTTTGGGATATCGCAGCCATCAAGTTCCCTATAGTGTTATGTCCCAAAGGAACATTGTCATACCAATAATGAGAACTAGAAAAATTACGTTTTGGCCTTTGGAAAATTCGATCACACTTTGGATTAAGATGTCTTTTGTATTTGATGAATGACTTCACTGGGCACAGAGGATCATCTAAAAATTAAATAAAATAAATAAATAAAATGTCACATTGCATTTCTTTAACATGTTTAAAAAAATACTTTGTCTTTAATTTTAAAAAGTAGCCTATATGATGTACTAACCTGGCATTGCATACATCCTTCCCTCCGCTGTGTTAGCGTTTTCCTGATGGTTTTTGGTCAGTTCGTCTTTGTCTAAATAAATGTAAAGGTGGCCCTCTGCATCGTGCCTGGCACTGAAATCCGATATCTTTAACTGATGTAAATTCTCACGGCCTCGGCGTCCAAAATACAAGACAATGTCTACAAACACTTTTTCCTGTAGTTTCACGTTGTTCTCAAGATCAAAATACTGATACATAAGCTTTAAATCGTTCTTTTCAATAGGAGGGTAATGGGAAACCCCTCCCTTGCCACTGCGTTTTAGCTCCTTTGTAGCTGCGGTGAAAGCCAGTTGTGATTTGCGGAAATCTACTCCATGGATGATGTCCCTTGTATTTTGGGAATTCACCGACAAATGTCTGTTAAGTCCATGTCTAATGGAAAATAAACTGCTGCGTTTATAAAGCTCACCGTTAACTGTTCTCGCCTCCGCATAAAACTTGCTTAACGTGGAATCCAGTTCACTCGTTTCGAACGATTCAAAATCCGTAGATAGACCCTTTTCTTGTAAATAGGTACGAAATATCTTTGTTGCCATTTTCGTGGCCTTCTGGGTGTTTTCGGCATCCTTATCTTTTAAAAGTCTATCGAAATCGCTGTCGTCAATCGAAGCAAACCTAGTAGCCATTGTTTACGTCTGCTGAAGTCATAACCGAACTCGTTGTAAGACGCGCAATTTCATTGGACGACAAAAATAAGAATAATCAATCGCGTCATCAAGAAGTTCCCTATCTATTTTTGGTACGATGTAGCTTAAATATTCTCTGGTATTGACTTGGAACGTCACGTGCAGGTCAATACAACGTAGTATTTCTCTAACATAGTTGGATCTAAGCCAATCAGAAAGATGGAAATTATTCAATCATATAATAAATTAGAATATGAATCAACGTAACAGTTCTCAGTTTGAAAGACTAGAATTTTTCCCCCGTTTTGCTTTATTTTACAGAGAATATTAATAAAGACATTATCATGTTTATTTAGTGTGTTATTTGTGAATTATTTAAGGAATGAAGCTTATTATAACTTATGTTATCCGATATAACATAACTTGGGGCAGTTTACGCTTTTAAACCGCGAAGCGGTTTATAAGAAAGCGTAAACTACCCCAAGGTTTGTTATATCGGATAACATAAGTTGAAATAAGCTTCATTCCTTATAATTTAATTTCAGGGTAGACAATAAGACAATATTTCCTCCGGAAAATGGCTTGAAATTAAGCGTTATTTTGAAATTAACGTCAAGCGGAGTAATACGTTTTTGACGTAACTCATTGTGACGTAGGCAAGTTATGTTATACAAAATGGATAAAACCGTTTAACCAATCAAATGACGTGTAACAACTAAAATTAAATAAATAACTAAGTTTTGACCTGCTCTGCGATATCCTATTTTTACAGCTTTCAATTCTAGATAGCTTTGAAATAAATCATGATAATTTCAAAGTTTAAAATACATATCGTTTGAATTTATTGTAAAAAATATTTCTAAAAAAAATTAAATAGCACATGACGTTCAATAAAGAAAAAGATATGACAGGAGTCCATGAACTTTTCGAACAACCCTCGTATAAATTGATTTTTCTAATATTTTCAGAGAAGAGACAAAGAGGCCGTTTCGCCGGATTTTCTCTTTTTATATCAAACACTCCTTATAAAGAGGACGGCCATCTTTGTTATAAGAACACGCTCCCATTGCCTCCCTTGGAGTTTAATACAACGTGTATAGGATATGGTCGTTACGTCATCTATTACAACGAAAGACTGGACGGAGTCACTTACCCTAAAGATTACCAAAGCCTTGTCTTTACTGAGTTATGTGAAGTGAAAATTGAAGGTTTTTTTCAAAGTTTTTTGATGATTTTTTCAGCTCAGCAAGATGTCATATTTATTTTGGAGTAATGTAATATATAAAAAGCATTACGTTTTGTTGCTAGTCCCCCTTTCATGCACAACTCTCTAGCCAAAAAATTATCTAGGAAATACATTTGTTGTTCGTTACATTATTTAGTTATCTTTAAATCTGGCAAAATTTAAAAGTTTCACGGTAACTGTTACGAAAGGGTACTAGCTTAACGCATGCAGGATAGTGCATATGAATAACTAGTGAAGATTTTCAGGATACATTTATCTGCATGATTGTGGAATTACAAGACAAGCAAATACAAAAAAAATAACATTGTGTTGTATGTGTATTCCTGATACTCCTGTTAATTCATTAATTTAATTTTTGTGATACGAATTTCATTTTATGCTCTACAAGTGAAAGAATTAATTTCGAAATGTCCGATTTTCATGGGAAAAATTGTATGCATTTACGTTCCATTTTTTTCAGGTTGTTTGAAATCAGGAGTTTATGGACGTAACTGTAGTTTATCTTGTCCAATCAATTGCCAAGAGCAGAGGTGTAACATTGTCAATGGGACATGTCTTGGTTGTGTGCCTGGATACATTGGGCAAATGTGCGAAACTGGTATAGAATTTGTATTGTATGCAGTATACATATTTTTGTATCAGTGCATTTTAACAAAACGGTAGATTATGATTTCAATTGATTATTTAACAGAATGTCCCTTTGGATGGTATGGTGACCTATGTAAAAGACAATGCACTGGACATTGTAATGGAAACATTTCTTGTAATCACGTGACCGGATATTGTGATGGAGGATGTGCAGCTGGATTGATGGGCAAGCAATGTGACCAACGTAATCATTATTAGAATAGTCTTTAATAAACAACAAATGTTTTTAAGTAGTTTTTTTTTCATGAATAGAAAATATCATGTTGGTTTTATATTATATTCAAGATCATCATTTCAACTTTAAGTACATGTTCCATATACTTCTCAAATTAAATTTAGGCATGTTAGATTGACCAAAACGCCTAGTTATTTAATACATGTACTCATGTACTCCTGTTGCTTGTAGAGTGTATAGAAAAAATAAAATTTAGAGTTTGCTAACATAGATAAAATATTTAAAATATGTAACACAAAAGCTGCTAATTTAATATACGGCAAAACTCGTTTATAGCGAATTTCAAGGGACCGAAGAAAAAACTTCGCTATAACCGTAATTCGTAATACGTTTATAGCGAATTCGTTATAAAACAGTCAACTAACAGTACTTTAACCTTTCGTACGTCATACATGAATTGATATAATTACACTTACAGTCAGTTACAAAAATAGTCAATACAACCTTTTACTTTCTTTAATGCATATTTTAAGAACTGTGTATAAACTATTTACATTTTATTTACTTTTGATCATTTAATATTATATAACTTGTGCATTTCAGATATCAGAAGAAATTGAAACCTGTCTTGATCATCACATTGCGTAATACCAATGCTACCGGATACACATTTATCAAATAAAAAATAGAACCAAAAAATAAATACTTTATTTCCGGAATATTTTTTTATGGTGGCAAATAAATACAAATCAAATACAAAATGGTTTTATACATATGGAGTATTTACAGGTATCTGCAAGTCAAATATCTCGTTATGCATTGTTAAAGTAATCGTAAATAGTTGACTGTTTTGTTTTACTGACATTCACGAACTTCTCAATTTCACAGAGGTAGGTAAAGAAAACCTCTGGAACATTTGCACTTGCTTCTAAACATCGCCTCAAGGTGTGAATAGAGTTTTTACCATCATCAAAAGTTGGGAATTCTGTTGAATCTATGATTTCGTCGTCATTGTCACTTTCCGCGCTAACTGATTCAGTTTGTGAGTTTCCAAGAATATCGTTAACGATGTCATCTTCGGATCTTGTCTCAACACTGATCAGGTTTTCGTCCACATGAACAATATCATCGAAGGATCCGTTAAATTTCTGAGCAAACAATGCTAATGGAATGTCATCATCTTCTTCGAACTCATCATCACAATCATCAATAACTTCTGCGCTTTTGTCCTCAAAACCTGCTTTTCTAAAACAGTTTGAAATGCATGACACGCTAACTTCACTCCAAGCCGACTTAAGAAATCTAATTGATATCAACACGTTGATGTTTGGTTCCATTTTCTTTTCGTCACACTGAAATTAAATTAATATATTAGGTAATAATCATAATTATTATGTTTATTTATCAATTAAAGAATGAAATGTTATGCTTCGTAGATAAACACAGGTGCGCGCCGATGCCATTTATAGCCTCGGGACTAAAACCGCTACTTACACAAAAATAGACAATAGAAATAAAGGTGTGATCTTACCTGAAGTATGTATTTTATCAGGCGCTGACGATATTTGATTTTCAAATTGTTGATTATACCCTGGTCCATTGGTTGTAGTATGCTCGTTGTGTTTGGAGGGAGAAATTTCAGAGTGATGGATTTGAGATTAGGGACTCTCGGGTGGGCTGCACAGTTGTCAACAAATAAAAGCACCTTACGTTTTTCTTTTAGAAATCTGCGGTCATGAGTTCGTATCCATTCTTCAAAAATAGAACTAACCATCCACGCTTTTTTGTTGGCTCTGTAGGTTACGGGAAGCGATTTTACCCCCTTAAAACATCGAGGGTTTTCAAATTTTCCAGTGACTAGCAGGGGTAATTTCTCTGTCCCGTTCATATTTGACGCAACCATGAGCGTTAATCTCTCCTTTGATCTTTTCCCCCATGACACTTTTCACCTTTCATTTGTAGAGTTCTGTCCGGTAGAAGTTTGTAAAATAGCCCGGTTTCATCTGCGTTGAAGATATCTTTAGGATCGTAATCTTGTAAGATCTGCGGCAGCTTCTCCTTCATTCGTCAACGCTTTTAGGATCAACGATTGCGCTCTCTCCAGTTATCGCACGACACACGATTCCATGTCGATTTGAAAGCGATCCAGCCTCCCTGTATTGGATTTGAAACTGTGGTCTCCTAATTTCTTGGCAAGGTCTTCTGATTTTTGAAGGAGTATGGGACCGCTTATTGGAATGTTTTCCTGTCTCTTTTCATTGAACCACTCTAATAATGCCGCATCTACAGTCTCATGCGGAACGGACCGGTGACGTTTTCGTGATGGACTGATTCCTGTAGATTCGTAATTTTTAATTATCTCTTCTTTGTTTTTCAAAATTGTACTAAGAGTATTCGGTAAAATATCAAACCTTGTAGCAATTTCTTTTTTAGCGAGGCCACCCCTTTCAACTTCTCTAATGATCTCATATTTAGTCTCTATTGAAATTGCTTTCCGCTTTCTAGACGGCGAAGACATCTTGGTACTGACAATTATCGAGTTAGGATTAACCTTTTACATTGTTGTGAACAAATCTCAAATAAGATGTATTTTAAAGTAAAGAACAATGAACAAAACTCAACACACCTGAATAATTGGCTTGTTTTTGTCGTAAGCCCGTGAGCACTTTATTATCTTAACATTGAAGCACAGATTTTAAAGTTTTATGAACGCGTATATTAAACGAAATTTGTAATGAAAAATATTCGTTATACTAATAAAGAAATGTGTTAAAATATCGTCAGAGGGGGTTTTAAAATCACTTCGTTATAGCCGTAAATTCGTTATAGCCGTATTCGTTATATACAGCAAGTTTTGGTAGGTTTATGTAAGGAGTCTGCCGGGACTTGAAAAAAAATTCGCTATAGCCGTAAATTCGCTATATCCGTGTCGCTATATTCGAGTTTTGCTGTAATGTATTCGTCGTTTATTTGTGAGGATCTGTTCTTCTCAGAAATAGTTAACTTGATGAAACATAATTATATTTTTTGAAATTAAGGAAATTTATCATATTTTTTTTCAAAAAAAAAAAGATGTAGTTCAAATCTGTTATTCATCTTAGAGTGTAACATGGGAACGTACGGCTCAGGATGTTTACAGAACTGTAATGGGCACTGCCTAAATAATATCAGTTGTAACAGAGAAACAGGGATGTGTAATTCCGGTTGTGACGAAGGGTACACTGGAAATTTCTGTGAAAAGGGTACGAAAATTGGTACATTTTAAAATAAAAATCATAATATAATAATATGAAATGCTTTTCAAAATTTAAAGTTAAGTTTCAAGAATATTACACACACACATAAATATTGGAATGCTATTTTTCCTATTCTTAATAAGAATGCCCTCCAGGACGCTTTGGAAAGGATTGTCTACAGGAATGTAGTGGTAAATGTTGGAATAATAGTGGTTGTAATCATGTCGACGGTGAGTGTAAAGAGGGATGTGCTGCTGGATACGAAGGGAAGCTGTGTAACGATGGTGTGTACAACATTTTTTCTTATTTATCTTGAACGCAATTACAATTTTGTAAACACGAAGTAAAAATGCAAATTAACATTGTATGTCCAACAACTTGCACTAAAGCAAAAAAGTTGAAATCCATGCAAATGAAATAAATTGTCATGGTCCGATAATTTTATAAATTTAACCTGAATGAAGTATGTTCTGAGGATTTAGAAAGAGCTGAAGCTATGATACGTTTCTTGAGAGTTATCAGTTAATCAACTTAAAAGAATATGTAATTTATTGCTATTTTTTGTAGGGAAATTTTTACATTTTGACAAGTTTGCAACAATATATTCATAGTCATTCTTCATCATTGATATAATTACTCGAGTTTTCCATTTCAGTTTGTTCAAATGGTTCTTTTGGTATTCATTGTAATAAAACCTGCTCAAGGCAGTGTATTGGTGTGTGCAATCATGTAGATGGCAAATGTGACTGTTTTCCTGGATTCCAAGGAGCACCAAACTGCACAAAAGGTTATTATAATATTGCTTTTGTAACAAATATTGACAAATATTAACTGATATTAATTGCGTGATGTATAGTATTATGGTACATTTTGTTTTGTAGAGGATGAATATCTCAGGATCTATAGATAACAATTTGTTGACTCTCAAATACGGATATTTCAGTAAAACATGCATTATTATAGTTACAAGTTAACATGGATCAATTTCAATATTATTCGTTTTTTCTCTACAAAATGTAACATCAAATATTCTCACTGAATATCAATATATCTTGTTAGGAAACAAAAAAATCATATTTTGAAATCAAATCTAAAATTCTTTCCTAGAACTTAAAATGTAAGGGGGATAAATGTTAGAAATAGAAAATTTAGGAAAAATCTAATTACTGACATTTTAAATGATTTCAGAATGTTTCGATGGATTCTTCGGAATAAATTGTCAGCATAAATGCAGTGGCCACTGTCTTAACGGGGAAATATGTAGAAAGTTTGATGGAGGTTGTCCTCATGGATGTCGGGATCAATATCGTGGGCTGCTCTGTGATTATCAAGGTATGTGTGTGCCAAAAACGTTTATGTCCTTTGAATTTCAATTATGGTAGAAAGAGATAATTACAATGTCAAAACAGGATGCGATAAATGCTTTCAAACAGTGGTTTTAATATAAAGTTTGTTGTAGATGAAACCTCATGGAAGATAGGATGTTCAGTGTCTGTTGCACTTAATATGATATTTATATCATCAATTGTTGTTTATATCATAATTGAAAGGTAAAACCATTTTTGATTTACAAAATAAAAAAAAAAATTTCAACAGTTTATCATAATAACATAACAGCAATATTTTGTAAAAAAAAAAGTGCTATTTACATTTTTTTACTACTTTCATATAATTGCAGTAATTGTTTTCGAACATTAAAAACAAAGGTCAAAGATCTAGAGCCGCTTAGGGCCTTTTACGGCCCTGGGGATTTCTGAAAAATAAAAAATGCTCATTTGAGGTTGAAAATGCAATATTTATCAATTGGACTGTTGGTGACCATGTTTTTATTGAACATGACCTAAGTTTTCCTTTAGTCAATGCATTATGACGTCATAAAATGTGTCATTCTCCAAGTATCCTGTAAATTTGCTTGAAAATGGCCTGAAATTGAAGTATTTTTATTTATATTTCATATAGAGCACAACTTCTAATCCAAACTATTCAGTTACATAATGAAAGATCTTTTTCAGAAGATCAAAAAACATGTTTTGATTTTTAGATCATGCGCTCTGATCATATTTTAATTCTTTGCTGAAGGTAGTCAAATGCGCGTGTTTTCTGCAAAATTCAATAACAATGCATTTTCTCAAAGCCTGTTTTCCAATACTTTGATTCTCAAAAAAGAAATTTTATTGTAGGAAATGATAGCACTAAATCTTGTCTTTATTCTTATATACAAAATGGGAAAGAGGGTGATAGTTTATTAATTGATATAAGGACAGGACCATTTTATGCATAAAGTGAATCTAGCTCTTTGTTGATAATCAATAAGTATTATTATATTTATTTTCAGAAAAACAGAAATCTTTACGTTCAAAAAGAATATTCATGACTCTGGAAAGAACTGCGAGGAAGCAAATGTAGGGTCTACGAATATGAACACAATTACAGATAAACAATTTTATGAGGAATTGAATGCTTTAGAGAAGAGTTCTGAATATCAGGAACTACAAGTCGAAAGCAAAGCTGCTTATGAGAATTTGGCATTTGAAAATGCATAAAATATTTCTATCGTTTAAACTATGTTTTTTTTTTTAATCTTACAGACTGAATAAATGAGCACAGTTTTATTAATCATATAATTAAGTTTCAAGTCTGCATATAGAGTATGTTAATTGAATTTGCAAAGTTTTACTTTTGTCTTCATGTGTGTTTTACTTATGAAAATGGAGAGATAAAAGTAATATATGCATATGAAACCTTGTGAAAAAAAAATAAAAATGATGCTAAAAATTAATATGATACTAAAGAATAACATAAAATTACAAACTATTTAAATATTATTTAAATATCATAAAACACCTTTTTTAACATTAGTGTTGAATATTTAACTTAAAAGACACGACTTTTTCATTTTACAACTCTTTTAATGAGAAACCAGAAATAATGAAAACAGCTACACAGTGCGAAATCTGGATATTCCGCTTTTAACTTCAAAAAAGTATGACCCATTATTTTACGTAAATATTGTTAACCTAACTTGTAGGCATAAACATATGCAAACTTTGAAAAAAGTTCTGTCTCATTTATTGATGAAAAATTCTGTGTTACTCTAAAGAATTCGAGTTAATAAATTTGTTCCTTTCACCAAAAGACACATTATCATGTTTTGCTTTACTTGCTTAAAAAAAAACAATTATTTTTAAACATAACGAAAAATATATTCTGCTTGCGAGATAATTGGATATGATAATAATTATCCAAAAAAAAAAAAATGAAAAAAAAAACTTAAGAAGATGCATTTAACCTAGAACAAAGTTGAGCTAAAGGCAAACTTTCTTCTAATGAATACACATATAAGGAAGAAAAAGTCCGTCTAGGTTTACTACTGCAGTAATACTGCGGTGAGAACGAAGAATTTTAAATTTTTGTTATATATTACAAACTCAAGCTTCCTGGTGTGTAACTGAAGACGATATATATAATATGGGCATTAATTATGTAATAGTTCTCCTTTTAGCAGGAACACCTTGTATATCTGGATTTGGTAGGTAAAGCATTATCGTTTTCTTCCTTTCTACGCCTTTGCAAAACAATTAAAACCGAATTAAATCATTAAATTTTGTTTGCTTAACATCAATGTGTTGTATTTTTGAACAACTTACTGCTTTAGTTCTTGCTGTGTGATTTATTTCATTTCTGAATTACAATAATCAATACAATGACCTCTCATTTATAAGCAGTCCTTGTTATTTATTTTTGTTTGGTTGCAAAAGACGTAATTCACAAAACCATACCCATATAATTAGTAGGGCGGATGTCGTCAGCTCCGAAATAACCAGTTCTGGTTTTGACCAAAGGTGTAAAAACGGTCCTAAAGATATGACGTTTCTGTCTATCGTTTTACAATTTTTTATCCATTTTCATTGATTATTGTTCAATAACTACTTGTCAAACCTTATTATACATTCAAATGGAATTATGAAAAATGATCTAATAAACATTGAAATATAAGAAATTTTTCGAAAATTAAAATATTTTTTTTTTTAGAAAATTCAATATCTTGTATTCCCTAAATATTAACAAAGCATTTTCGGAGGTTATGCATCGCATTTAATTTAGACTTGACCTATCTTGCCTTCTTTAGTTGCGGACTGCTATGATTCTTTGAAATCATATGCATGGACATGCGTTAACTGCCAGGTTTGATTGATCCATGTTTAATCTGTTCATTCTGCACCAGAAATGTAATATTGGTTTTTCATTCAGCATAGTTATGCTTTGATTTTTCTAAGCAAGTATGGAACTGATCTTACATGTGAAAAAGACATAGTGAAGCTTCGTGGTGATATTGTACGGACGTTACAATTATGGTTTTGCAAAAAGCACATGATTTAATAATCTTTTTTTTTACACTAAGACAACAAAACAATTTTCACCTTCACAGCTATTAAAAGGATATAATTTTAGGTCTTTACGTTGACAAGGAAGAAAACGGCAACAACGCTCCCTGAACTTATTTGCCAACGCTTGCCAAGTTGGCCTTAAGACTGATTCTTTCTTTGACCGGTGAGCAGGGGACGCTCACTACTACATAGCATCTGATCCCATCTCATGTTTTAGAGGTTCTTGTTTGCTCTGTTCCAAAATTTATATCAAACCAGAAGTCTCTGTCGAGACTGAAGCTCTACTGTTTTGTACTTATAGCAAAGGAAGAGAAAAGTACTTCAGCAGTTGGAAATTGAAACTTTTCAACAGCAATAAATAGAATAATGATCCTTGATTAAGTCTCTTTATGTTCTTAGTGCAGTCTACTTGCATGCCACATTTATATTATAATCAAACTAAAATTGTATTTGGAGTAGCATTTTGAAAGAATTTCACAGAAATTTCTATTTTTAATAACCACGGCAACACCGTTCATCGAAATCAAAAACCGATTCACAGAATTGTGTATCTTAGTGTAGTCTACTTGTGTGCCAAGTTATATTGAAATCAGAACAAAACTGTAGGAAAAGTAGCTTTTTGAAAGAATTTCACAGAAATTTCTATTTTTATTAACCACGGCAACACCGTTCATCGACATCAAAAACGGATACATAGAATTATGTATCTTAGTGTAGTCTACTTTTGTGCCAAGTTATATTGAAATCAGACTAAAACTGTAGGAGGAGTAGCATTTTGAAAGAATTTCACAGAAATTTCTATTTTTAGTAACCACGGCAACACCGTTCAACGAAATCAAAAACCAATACACAGAATTGTGTATCTTAGTGTAGTCTACTTGTGTGCCAAGTTATATTGAAATCAGACTAAAACTGTAGGAGGAGTAGCATTTTGAAAGAATTTCACAGAAATTTCTATTTTTAGTAACCACGGCAACACCGTTCATCGAAATCAAAAACCGATACACAGAATTGTGTATCTTAGTGTAGTCAACTTGTGTGCCAAGTTATATTGAAATCAGACTAAAACTGTAGGAGGAGTAGCATTTTGAAAGAATTTCACAGAAATTTCTATTTTTAGTAACCACGGCAACACCGTTCATCGAAATCAAAAACCGATACACAGAATTATGTATCTTAGTGTAGTCTACTTTTGTGCCAAGTTATATTGAAATCAGACCAAAACTGTAGGAGGAGTAGCATTTTGAAAGAATTTCACAGAAATTTCTATTTTTAGTAACCACGGCAACACCGTTCATCGAAATCAAAAACCGATACACAGAATTATGTATAGTGTAGTCTACTTGTGTGCCAAGTTATATTGAAATCAGACCAAAACTGTAGGAGGAGTAGCATTTTGAAAAATTGTTTACAGACAGACAGACAGACAGACGGACGGACGACGAACGCATTACTATCGCATAAGCTCTTCTGGTCTCTGACCAGTAGTGCTAAAAACACTAATAATTTTTTTAAATATATTTTCTTCAACTAGATGACTTATCATAAGGAAAAATTGCTAAGCAGTCTGCATGTAGCCTACCCTGTGGTCCAGAAAAAGCTATTGATGGCGATATTAATACCTGTATGAATACATACCCTATAGGTCCGAGAATCGATGAAAAAACCGTTTGGTGGACGGTAGATCTAGGCGGAATTCGAAGCATTTTCAGCATCAATATAAATTTCAACGACTATGGGGGTAGCGGCGGTATGTTTTGTTTTAGCCTTCACACCGTTTGAAAACAGTTCTTTAGATTGAAATTACTCGTTTCCTAAAAAAAAAACCCTCAAACTTATACCTGCAAAATATTATTGGATATTGTTATTATACATTACTGAAATGGCATATCAAATGTAGGATATACAATGTACAAGTATAAGATGAAATGTAGGTCGCAATACGAAAAAGTAAATATAAAATTAATGCAATTTCGTCTTCATTCGTCTTCTTTGTTAAATCGTCATTGCAGCAGTATTTTTAATAGTAAAGAATCCAAACAATGTATAATTCAAGCAACATCTATAAAAAAAAGCTAGCGGACGAAGTGTAATTTATTTTGTATGTACTTTGATAAATGTATAAATAAATGTTAGTATCAAATAATTAAATATATAATAAATGTACAATATTCATTTTATTGACAGCAGAAATGTTTTTCCTTGAATATATATTTATTCTTATGTATGGAAATAAAATGTCGACCTAGATAAATACAGCAAATTCAATTTTTCATTGATTCAAATACTGACTGGTGTTTTTAATACGAATTGTTAGTCCACTGTTTATAAATTGAATTGACGACGAATTTTCCGTTATTTGTCGATCATAACAAGGAGCACACGGCGGTTGTGACCGGTCAGCAGGAGATGCTCACTCCTCCATGGCATCTGACCCCACTTCTGCTGTTTTTCATTAAAGGTCTGTATTTGCTCTGCTCCTATTTACTATTGTTCCATTGACTTTGATATTGAATGCTCCAACGCAGTACCGTTAAGGCTTATCGGAGCCCAAAATGTATTTAAAAAGTAACATTGCATTGTAAAATTGATTTTGAGTTTTATTTTTAAGTTCTGTACTTAAGTACGCCCAATTCATATAGAGAGTTCTCTTGGCTTTATATAAACATATTTGTTACCATATCATATGACCTTGTTGATCACGTGATGGGGATTTCTTCTTTTTTGGAATGTTTCACATTAATCGCTTCTGCGCAGGTTATTAAAACAATTAATATTAACTTTTTGTCACACAAATAAACTCGTTGCATCCTTGTGAAACCGAAATGTGCTTGGGAAAAGTTATACTATTTCTTTTGTACAATTTATTTCTCATTAACTTCAACTTACCAAATAATCTGAGTGTATCTTCTGCTGAATACCGTCATTTGTTTTAAAACAAAGCCATTATACATTTTTCCAAAGCAGAGTTCAGTACATTAGAGGGGAACTCCTCTTACATATTTCCACAAAAGATATCAAATAAATCCTCATTAATAACCTGCGCCAAGCTCTTTTATGCACATATAATGAATTCTGCCTCAGTCCACGGGTATAAAAAGGGGAAAATGTCAAACATACATTTTCGTACGTAGTTTGACAAGAGCAATAAAGCA